TTTGGTGGGCCCGGGCTGGATTCGAACTCACCACCTTAGGTGTATATGGCTGGCACCTTAGCCACTTGAGCCACAGCCACCGAGCCAACTGCCTGTATTCTAAACCAAACAGAAATTGGCCGTTTAACCTGAACGAATAGGCAGAAACCTAGTTAGTCAACTGTGTAGGAGTATACATTTTAATACTAGAATATATTGTAGAAAATGGCAAAATAAATTGCTTAGTATAAATAATAGAACACCGTTAGCAATCAGAACGTCTTTTTGCAAAGTATATGAAAATTTTATTTATACTTTTTCATACCAACCCTATCAGCTTGCCTCATTTATACAAAGAAGTAGTGAACAAGAAATGAAATCCCTGTGTGCAGCCACCAGCGAGGCAGAACGTGCTGGCAGTTCTCTTGTGGGTGTCACAGCTGCAGCACTGAAGATTAGAACGGCCTGTGCTTTCTCTGGCCTCAACCTGCCCGGGAGCCCCAATCAGAGTGAAGTAAAGCCATTCCTACCTGTTTGGGTGTGCTACACAGAATTCATATTTTATAGCCATTTTAATAGTCACGGGAGAACAAAAATAGACTCTTTGTGTGAGCAAGTGAAAGCAGCTGGGGCCAGCTGGATCAGGGCTGGGACTCAGGTCTCTGTCCTCTTCTGGGGCACTTGTTTCTACGTCATGTTTTCAGCACAATGCTCAGGAAAACAAATGGACGGTTACATACTCATGTATATTTTATAAATTAATGACTTCATATTAAATAGTTTTTATAACAATTACGTATGCCCACTACAGAAAATCAAACAATAGGGACAATTTCAGAGAAAAATATCTTTAAAAAAATCATTTTAAATCCTCCCACCTAGAAATATTAAAGAGGTGTTTCATTAACATTTGATGAACTTCCTTGCAGTCACCCTGTGAATCCACACAGGCAGCATGGAGAGAAATAATTTTTGAAAAATGAGATTACACTACCCAACCCATTTGTGTAAGTCAGAGTTATACTTTTTAATCATCATTGAAAAGTATACTATATGTTAGCGTATTCAATTCTGTGTGTTTTTGCCGTTTTATATACCCGGGAAACCACCACCACAATCAAGAAACAACATTTCTACCATCCTAAGAATGGCTCACACCCAGCCCAGCCCTAGGCAACCATGAAAATATTTTCAGTAGCTATGGATTAGTTTGCATTTTTTATAATTTATATAGATACAATCCCATAATAAGTAATCTTTTGTGCTCCCTCCTTTTATGACAAAAAATAATTTTGAGATTTTTTCCATATTGCTGTGTCTTTCAATGATTCCTTCCTTTTCACTGCTGAGCAGAATTCCACTTATCTTAAATAAAAGGTATTAAATTTAATTTTATTTAAATTTAGCAAAAGGCACATTTCTGAAATGGAGGGAATTGCAGAATACATAATGGTGTCCTTATTACAAGAGGTTTAATGAGCCCTCTAAAATGAAGGGCAAACAACTATGAAAAATTAGGAAAAACTATAGCTGAGCATTTAAATGTTTGACATCTTGAAATTAATGTGTTAACTTTACAGTATCTAATCTCCTGCTATTAAATGTGAAGCAATTTATTCATACTTTCCCATCTCCATCTGTTTTATAATCTACCTATTATCATTACCGATATTTATTAAATTTACATTTTGCTCTATAATTTCCACTACTGTTTATTCTTAATTCAACTTCCACCAAGTAAATGAATCCAATACATATCAACCCTTTGCGTTTCTATGCATATGTGACTTTTAGAATCAGTTTGTCAATTTATGGACAAACACAAACTTGTTGGTATTTTGGTTAGAACTGCACTGAGTCTACAGGTTATTTTGTGTCCTTGTGGTCTATTTACACAGAGGTCTTAGGCTTTTGAAGATTACTCATCTTTGAATGGAGCCCCTGTCTGCTGAAGAATACTGTGGGGGTAGAGCAGGAATGAGCTGGGGAAATCTGTTTCCAATTTGTTGTCTCCAATGCTCTACTCACTTTATCTCTTTTGTCTGGGGACACACCTCTGATTTTGCCTCCCCAGGCTCTCTGTATTGGGATCGGGCCATTGCTGTCTGCCTTCCCTCCTTCAATTCTCATGGCCTTCTCTTCTGCCCAGGAGACTGAGAAGCTGGAGTTAATACAAATGCACATCAGCATAGATTCTTCATCAGCTCTTCCTCTGCTGTTTGAGTGGCATCAAACTAAGCCTTGAGGGGATATCCTTGTTTCTCCTCTGTGCTGTTCACTTCCGGGGACCTATTGCTCTAATTAAAGGATCACTGGGTCTGGTTTTAGTTACTAAACAAACTAAAAAAAAAAGAAAAAACAAACCAATTGAGAGTGCATGTGTATGTTTAAGCCCCACTTTGTTCCAAAAAAGATTTAATGGAGCTTCCAAAAATACATGTAACATTAAAGAAAAATAAAATGAGGGCTAATGGAGAAATAAGAAAAATGAGATAGAGCATGTAAAAGCCATACATATCCAAAGTACATGTAATAACACATAAACATTTATCAGACATGGGCCACAAATCTAATCAATAGCTCTTTCAGTAACCAATACAGAAACAGAACTAGGATTTTAAAAATATGATTCTGTATGCATAACTTAAGAAGAAACAAATTAGAAGTTTTTTAAGAACCTCAGTTAGGAAAAAAAGAGAATATAAAAACTTAGAGTTTTGAGTTACAGGCATGGTGAATCACGACTGTAATCCTAGCACTCTGGGAGGCTGAGGTGGGAGGATTCCATGAGCTCAGAAGTTTAAGACCAGTCTAAGCAAGAGCAAGATCCAGTCTCTATTAAAAACAGAAAAATTAGCCAGGTGTTGTAGCAGGCTCATATAGTCCCAGCTACTTGGGAAGCTGAGGCAGGAAGATTGCTTGAGCCTAAGAGTTTGAGGTTGCAAGGTAGGCTGAGCCCACTGCAAGTATGAGTGACAGAGTGAGGCTCTGTCTCAAAAAAAAAAAAAAAAAAGAGTTTTAAACTCAGAGATTTGTGCATGTTTTTAGATGAAAGTAAAAATGAATGCAAAGAGAAAGACAAATAAAACTCAGAGGCTGAGCACGATGGCTCACACCTGTAATCCCAGCACTCTGGGAGGCTGAGGCGATGTATTGCCTGAGCTTACAGGTTCAAGACCAGCCAGAGCAAGAGCAAGACCCCATCTCTAAAACTAGCCAGGTGGGTGGTGGGTGCCTGTTGTACCAGCTACTCGGGAGGCTGAGGCAAGAGAATCAATTGAGCCCAGGAGTTTGAGGTTGTTATGAGCTGTGATGCCATGGCATTCCTCCAATGGTGACAAAGTGAAACTGTGTCTCAAAAATAATAATAATAATAAATAAAATTCAAGTATGTCAAACCATATATAATGGAAGCAGTATGGAAAACTTGAATATAAACTCTTTTTCTTAATTATTTTGATTTTCCATTTTGTAAAGTAAAAGAACTTTTGATCATCTGTCAATTTCAATACAGCTGTTTTATTATTTTGGATAGGAAAAATGTATGACAAATTGAGTACAATAGTATTAGTCAGATTTATTTCTCTATATCTCTTTTTATATAGCTTTTTCTTTCACATGCATATGTGCTATCAAATAGCAACAGATGTCAAGGTTGACAAATTAACATGCACTAAAATAACTGGTGTGTGATAAATATTGATTTATACAGTTTGACACTTGGTATATACCAGGAAGTATCTGTCCTAAGAGGTATTTCCTTGAATTCAGCAGTGTGTTTGGAGCTTTAAAAAATGATTTCATGTGCTATAACCATGAATTCATCTAAAAGTTGAAGGCAATCTCAGATATTACCAGCTCCCTCCTTACATTTTTTCTTTGTATAGCAATTAAGCTTGGCTTTGTTTTAAATATTATTGAGTCCGCAAAGAATACGTCCAAATTGCATTTAATACATGTTACTTTGGGAACATAGCGATGTTCATTCAGTGAGTAAAGAAAGGCAATGATTCTTTGATGTCAGTATGCCACTGGATCCCTACCAGCAGAAAGGGAAGGCCATTGTACCGAAGTCAGAGGCAGGTTAAGCGGGATTAAAATGACACATGTCCCACTTAACTTTTCTCCTCCCTGGCCAATCCTGACCAGATGGGAAATAACTTGTATCTAGAAGATTTGGTTCAGGGATTCTGGATCGATACCAACAGGCTTCTGCAAAATGTCCTAAGAAATTCATTTAGATCCAGATCACCTTTATTTTTGTTTATTGTTATTCGGAGTGCTCAACAGCTATTGCTTCATTCTATCAATTAAAAAAGGTTAACTTTAGTTGCTATGATGAACTCAGTATTTTAACAAAATGGATCATTTTGTTTTCTTACTTACATGTGCTTTATAAAGTGCCATTTTTCTTGTCCTAGAGGATGTTATAAAAAGACAACTTAAGTGAAGGTTCATATAAGGTGTGGTAGGGTGTCTAAAACTTGAGTTCTTTTCCAATTATTGATTTCTAGGATTTTAATCTCCTGAAATGAACTCTCCTGAGAGTTACATTTGGTCTTAGGTTTGCCTTTCTATTTTAACCTGCAGCCAGCCTCAAACTTTACATAACAATAATAATGAACATAACAATAAATTTTATAGCAATTTGCAATTTTTAAATGCATTCCCAGCTATTATTTTATCTGAGTCAACACTCCACAAATATCTTTTGAACATAGACCAAGTGTTAGGTAGTTAGGCAGGGCAGCTGTTATCATCCCCATTTGAGAAAACAAAGTTGGTCATTATGACAGTTTTGAGATACACAAAAATCAAGAAATGTAAAATCCATGAATGTAAAAGAACAAATGATGCCCTCCCAGCAACATGGATAAGCTAAGCAAGGTGAAACTGACACAGGTGAATCAGAAAGGACTCTGCCAACTGTGTTTCTTACGTGTCTAGGATTGTCTAACTACCAAAGTGGGGAAGCCAGGAACTGAACATGAGTTCCTTGCTGAGAGGCAGTGCTGTGCAGAGATTCAGAGCACAGAATCTGCAGCTGTGCTGCATTTGTTTAGATACCAGCTGCATCACGCGCTAGCTGTTTGACTTTGAGCAAGTTATTTAACCTCTCTGTGCTATGGTTTGTTGTGAGGAGATTCTCAGTCCAGTATTCTTTTCTACATTACTTTCTCTTTGTCTCTATCTAGGTTAATGGGCTATCTCCTCTTTCTTTCTAGGGAAATTTTTCTGCATTTTATAAGGCCAAATGCATTTAATTTCATTTGGCAAAACTAAATATGAATATCTGTCCTTTGGCCAGTATTACTAAAAAGGTCTGCTTGGGGTATTGAGGCTTTAAAAAAGCAGCCCTACCTTGATACCCTTGTTTTCTAGAACACTATGAAATGAAGCTGATTCATATGTGAAGAGATTAATGAGGTACTCTTTGAAGAAAGGTCTAATTAAGTCTTTGTAAAATATAATTGCAAGAAAACATTTTCAATTGCAAGAAAAGGATTTCATTACCTTTTCCTACATTTATGGATACTAGGATAACTTGTACTTTCTGAAAGACTAAGAGTTTCCTATCACTCTAAGAATGACGTGGTAGATAATATCACTTGTCTAACAATTGGACATCTCCCACAAAGTCTTTATTAAAACTCTTTAATTCATAAAAGCGATTTTTAAATCTATTGCTATGTTTTAATAGTCCTGGAAGAAAACACTTATTTACTCCCCAAAACTTAACCATTGATTACATAAATATTTGCCAATGGTATCTATTTCTATAGTTTTAATTAAATTATTTTACTCAAAGTATAGTAGAGGGGTGCAATTAGTGCACATGACAAAAACTGAAAGCAGGCTTGGTGCCTGTGGCTCAAGTGGCTAAGGTGCCAGCCACATACACCTAAGGTGGCAGGTTCGAATCCAGCCCAGGCCGCCAAAACAACAATGACAGCTGCAACCGAAAAATAGCCAGGCATTGTGGTGGGCACCTGTGGTCCCAGCTACTTGGGAGGCTGAGGCAGGAGACTCACTTGAGCCCAGGAGTTGGAGGTTGCTGTGAGCTGTGATGCTACAGCACTCTACCCAGGAAGACAGCTTGAGGCTCTGTCTCAAAGAAAAAAAAAACTGACCTAAGGACTGAGAGCCACAAAATTCACTCAAATACAAGATCTTTAATATAGATTTTGTAGAACTGTGAAAATAACTGCTTCTAAATTATACTGCAGAAAGGTAAAGAACTAATATAAAAAAAAAAAAAACAACTGAAAGCAAGAAAAAAGTGTTGGAGGACCTAGATTTTCTTCTTGTTAAGCATAGTTTGTTTTGTTCAACCAAAGTATAAAATAGTGATTGTTCCCTATTGTGAATTTTCATCTTACAGAGTTTAAACATCTTTCAGAACCTAAATAAGCGGCAGTTTGAAACAGTTATTCATTTGTTTGAGGTTGCGATAATAGCAACTGACCTGGCTTTATATTTCAAGTAAGTATATCACTCCACACAACAGAGTGCCTGTCTTATACTCTGCCTGCATAGATTGCCTGTAGTTACAATCTGCATTAAAGTTGAATGGAATTTATTCACACATGTGCGTGCGCACCTGCCAGCATCCATCCACTCTTTTGGATTATTAGTTAATACCCTCAAGATACATGCCTGACAGTGAATTTACTAGACATCTTGAATTATAGTTTTTAAGTGTAAACTCCTAATGTTAAGCAGTTTATTATGTAAAGAAGGTTGATTTGAAGAATAGGCAGTCAAGTTTGTGCATTGCCAGAAAAGTTACCAAGAGACCTCACAAGGTAGGTCTTTGTCCTGGTGAATTCATCATGGTGCAGAATCTGTTTGCAGCTCAGAAATTTGATCCCATCAGAGTAGCTGATCAGTTTTGATGATCCTGACAGACATTACCCAGACTTATGGACTGAAGTTATCGTAGTAGAATGACAGCCTATTTACAATAGTAATATTGCCATGGAGACCAGATACTCTTGAGAATCTTCATGTTTTCTTTTGTAAGTGAGTCACAAAGTTGTTTGGTAAAAATAAACTAGTTACAGGATCAACTTGGGTTGTCAAATTATCCCTTTCTGATTCTTCTTAGTTAAAAATTTAATTATCAAATAGTTCAAATCTGAAGACAAATACTTAGAATAATAATCAATATCCAAATATCCATAGCCAAGATTTAACACATGCTAAATTTTGCCACATTTGCCTCAGATTTTGTTTTTTAAGGAGAAAAATATTAGCCATGCAATCAAGGCATCCCACCCCTTCTCTGCCATGAAAATCCTTTCCCTTTGCCCTTAAAAGATCCACATATGATGTTCATATGTATTCATGTTTTCCATCTGTGTTTTTATATGGTAAAGCGTGTTCTAAAATTTTCCATAAATGGCATCATACCATCTGTACATACCTTCCTACAACTTGTTTTATTCATGCAGCATTGGTTTAAAGATTTATCATTGATGATAAATGGCATTCTAATCATGTTTCTTAGCTAAAGAATATATGTACATATATATATATGTATATCTAACTTACCTATTCCTCTATTCATGAATGTTTAGTTCATTTCTAATTTTTCATCATTGCCTGCAATGCGACATTGTGTGCCCTTGTAATAGATGAGAATTTCTGTAATGTATGATGGAAATACCGTAGTGTTTACATGTCTTTAATTTTATGCTGTATGTTTTGGGTTCTAATTTTTTGTTAGTTTTATGTGTTGTTATATCTTATCACAGCCTCTGTTTATGTATGGTCCCTTTTCTCAAATGTATTATGACTTTGGTCTTAATGTATTTACATTTTGTTCCCCACCCCCTGACCCCTGCCATGGTTTGTGCTTTTTCCATCTTCAGCCCTTCCTATGCTAAAATTCCATAGCCACTCTCTGTTCTCATTAGCAGCCCTGTAGACTCTGCAATGTGGACATCTCCATGCAAAGTGGGAACATGAAATCTGAGAAGCATGTATTTATACTTTTCCTCTGCTTTTGTACGCTTGAAATTGTTGCACCTCTGTATCTTTTCTAGGAAGAGAACCATGTTTCAAAAAATTGTTGATGCCTGTGAACAAATGGAAACTGAAGAGCAGGCCATCAAATATGTAACCATCGATCCAACCAAAAAAGAGATCATCATGTAGGTAGTCAAAACTTTCTTTCTTTCTTGGCAAAAGCAACTTATTTTGTCTTTCTTTCTGTTTTAAAAATATTTGTTTCCTTCCTAAGGGCAATGATGATGACTGCATGTGACTTGTCCGCTATAACCAAGCCCTGGGAAGTACAAAGTCAGGCGAGTCCACTTCTGTTTTCTTTTCTGTCACCCTTTCAGGTGCTGTCTAGGTCCCATGTAGAGTCCAGGTAAAGATCCCTGGCAACCTCAGAATTCGATTCTGACAAATCACAAACATCAGTGAGACAACAGGTCCCTTGATTAGGCCCCCTGTTCAAGAGACTTCTCTTGAATAAAGAAAACAGAAGAAACTTTGAAACAGAAAATGGATTCTTAAGGATTTCTTATCATTGAACAGGCTGTAAAAATAATTATATAATATTATTCAATCAATGTCTGAGTTTTTAAATAGAGAATATTAGTTAGAGAGAGATCCAGGTAAATCATTGCTGTTTTCCTCTAAGCAAGTGTGGTTTGGGTCCTGCAGTCTCTCCTTCAGTGTGTTGTCAGTCCTAAGAAAGGGCTGACAGTGAGTTCATGTTGAAGGTTGCCTTCCACGGACATTCTCACCCACCATGGGGAGTAAGAGTAGGAAGGCAGTAGTTTACCACTTGCTTTTTTACTAACTGGGTGAAAGACCCTTCTCCTTTTCCTTCAATAACTTCTAGAGATCAGGGCAGAGCTGGACAGGCCCTTGTCCCTGTAGGAAGGAGGCAAGAGGGGAAAGCACATCTGGCAGCACCTCCTCCATGGGGGGCTCTCTGTTGCAGCCCCACATGGTTCTCATGGTGATAAGCATCATTCTTTACAACCTTCTCAATCTCCCTTGATCTACCTAGAAGTAGGGGGTCAGGAATCAAATAAATCTAATTTTATAAGCAAAAAAAAAAAAGGAAGAAAAATAACTTCTAGAGAAAACCCTAAGCAAAAGAGGTCAGAATTAAGAGGGTTCAACCAGAAATGTGCACTGTGTCTATAAAGATATAATAATTGGAACCCATTGTAGGGGAGGAAAAATATTTCTTCCTCATCTATCCTGGGTTCATGGCTGAGATAGATTACCAAAAAAAAAAAAAGCATATAGTTTATCTAAATTCTATGTGACATGGGAGCCTTTGAAAGGAAATGAAGACTGTAGGGAATAAACTTGTGTACTTTTATGCTGGGTTTGATGAAGAAGTGGATATTCATGGAGAAAGAGAATTGAACAAAGAGGGCATGATCTAGTAGCAACATACTAGGAGGATGTGACAAGGCCTGTTCGTTCAGATTCTCCTTTCCTTTGGGTATAGAGAGGACACATCTGAGTGAGGGTCTTACGGTCAGTGCCAGGGAAAAAAGGTTGGGGGAAAACTGAGAGTGACCGTCCTGCTTCTGTAGTTTTCTCAAATTCCTTCAGCTTAAAATACTTAGCAACGGGGGCGGGGGGGAGGTGGTGTGTGAGGGGCAGAGTGTCCTCAATTCCATCACCATCAGTCTCAAACCAAGCCCTTTCTCCCTCTCCTTCCTCTTTGACACACTGCTCTTCCTCCTATTCTTCAGTCACCCAAGCTAGAAACACGGGGTCTTGCTTGAGCTTATCTCACCCATGTCAGATGATTTCTACCACCTTCCTACTGCCTCAGTTAATCCGTTTATCCGGAATTGTTAGAACTACGGTGGCAGCTTCCTAACTGACCCTCTCTCTGAATTACTAAGAGGATTGTTTATAAACAGAGCTGTACTCAGCCACTCCATAGCTTAAAAGTCTTCTAAATTCTCCATCACTAGAGGTTTCCAAACTTTTTTTAAATTTTAAAGTCCACTTTTTTTCCTGCATAAAACTTGTGCAAAGATCACTTTATAAAAGAGAGAGAAGCAAAGCTATTTCAGCTTTGATCTCTCTTGGCCTCCACCACTAGGACCCCTGGGCACTGCAGAGGAAGCTGAGGCTCCAGGAATAGAAACCACAACCTAGGAAATCAAGTTCAAGCTTTCAGCAAAGTTTAATGGCCTGTCACTGCCTATCCTTAACTCATACTCCCAGGATCATTCCCCACTGCTTCGTCCCATGTCACCACCTTCTGTCCTAAGCTCCTACTCATGTAAGTTCTGGATAGTCAATTCTGTCTCTGCACATCATCTTCCCCTCTTCTTTACCTGGCAAACTCCTCTTTATTCTTGATGACACAGCATCAATGTTACCTCCCTCCTTCATGAGACTTTACTCCCTTCTCCTTGGTCCACAGCACTTACAGTTATTACAGCACTCGCCACATTGTTTACGTGACTGTCTTCACTAGTCTGTGAGAATTTTAAAGAAAATCCTCCTCTTGATCCTCTTGGCAAATGTGGCTCATGCCAATGCAAGGCAGGTGCTCTGTAGTTTTCTCAAATTCCTAGCTCCAAGCAAGAGCTTGACAGATTGGGGGTTTTTTAATGATAAAATTAACCCTTGAATATCCTCATACTGTAGTCAAGTAAGTAATAGACTACTTTCTGCATGTGTGTAAGTACATACAGGGATGTATGCTAGATGCTAACAAGCAAGGCAGAAGAGAATTCTGGACGTGTTAGAGCTTGAAGCACTTTTAATAGAATTAAATATCTTCCCTCTTCTCTTCCTTCTTGGTGAGATGTGGTAGCAATTGCAAATAGGAGATAGAGTCTCTCAGAAAAAGTCTTGAACATTGAAGTAGAAATAAAAACTTCCCCTTTCCCCTATCATTGTAATCTGAAAATGATATCTTCTAAGAGCATATGGTTTGATGACACCTCAAACATTATAAACACTATCCTCAAAAGTCACTTGTACTAATAAAATGCAAGTTCTCTAATAATAAGTGGAGCCTTTCTCATTTGCAGGTAGCACTTCTGGTTGCAAGTGAATTTTGGGAACAAGGAGATCTGGAGAGAACAGTGCTGCAGCAACAACCTATTGTAAAGACCCTGACATAAAAATGCATTAACTGTGAAAATTATCAGTACAAATCAGTCTATTTTGTTCACTAAATCTCAGAAACCTATCTCAAAAGGATTTATTTCTCTTTCTAGCCTATGATGGACAGAAACAAAAAAGATGAACTACCTAAACTTCAAGTTGGATTTATTGACTTCGTTTGCACTTTTGTATATAAGGTAACTAAACAAATTATTTGAATGAAACATGCAAATATTTGAATAGGAATTTTATTTCAAACCGTAGTCAAAATAAAAATGTTACCCACATGGACAGCCATTAGAGCCATTAAAGCCACTCCAAAGTAGTCTGAGGTTTTCTCCTAATCTCATTCAGGGGTGGAATAAAAGACGAGAGAACTCAGATGTGAGCAAATTCGAAGACTGAGTTAGGCAGGAAAAACAGTACAGATCTTTTCAAAACCATGCTTCCAAGGCACTGAGTTCAGCTCAGCTAGCAGCTCTGTTGTTAATAATTCCTTATAGCTCCTCCTCCACTTATGAAAGACACTAAAAATCACCTGCATGATGTCAGTAGTTTGACCTCAACTTCTCTCTAGGAGTTCTCACGGTTTCACAAAGAAATCACACCTATGATGAACGGTCTCCAGAATAACAGGATGGAATGGAAATCTCTTGCCGATGAGTATGATGCAAAGATCAAGGCACTTGAGGAGGAGGTAAAGAAGCAGGAAGAAGGAAACATGATTGAGAAAGGTTAGATGGAATCTGGTTTTGCTCCCTACAAAGTAGCCAGAAGTCAGGCTGAGCTTAATGTCACACGACAGAGGCATAGAGAGTAAATGCAAACAACTAGTTTTCCTGGTGCAGACCAGTACTTATGATATAATAAATTGGTTAGTGGTTTTCAGTTTTTCCCCCCAAAATAAGATCTTCTGTATGACTCCAGATAGAATTGACTGGTCCAGTTGTTACAGAGTAGTGGTCTTATCCTTATCTTTAAGAACTTACCATCTGGTGGGGGAAGTTACCTTAGACATTAAACAATCACTATCAGCCAGGCACAGAGGCTCACACTATAATCCAAGCACTTTGGGAGGTCAAGGCAGAAAGATTGGTTGAAGCCAGAAGTTTGAGGACTAGCCTGGGCAAAACAGCCAGATCCCATTTCTACGAAACAAATTTTAAAAATTATCTAGGTGTAGTGGTGTACACCTGGAATCCCAGCTACTTGGAAGGCTGAGACAGAAGGATCACCTGTGCCCAGGAGCTTGAGGCTGCAGTGACCTGTGATTAGGCCATGGATTCCGGCCTGGGTAACAGAGTGAGACCTTGTCTCAAAATAATTAACTAATCAATACACAGGTGATGGTCTAACTGTGAACTTCAGAGAAAGCACAGGTGTGTATGTAGGGCACATGCTTTGTCTTTAGGGAGTAAGCTTTGGCTAACCACAGAAAGGAGAAAGGGAATAAAGGAAAGAACAGAATATGCACAACGGCTTGAGGTGCAAATAAGCTTGGTACAACTGAAGCTGGTGTAGGTGGCGTCTAGAGAGTGAGGAGGGCAAATTACCAGATGAGGCTGGTAGTGCAGGCTGCTGCCAGATAGCGCATTGCCTTGTAGGCTGAGCTTACGGATTTCAGGCTTTCAAAGTCTCTAGGAGGCTTTACATGGGAAAAGTGCTAAGATCAATTTGTATTTCACAAAGACAAGAAAAGTGAATTTTACTGAGCCAATGAAAGGCAAAAGGCATTGCTTAGTACTATTAAATTTAACCTTTATCTCAATTTTACAATGAAGAGAATATTGAGTCCTTTACTTGGCTCTTGCCATTTTCTTTGACTATCCAGTATACCGGATTTGAATCAACACTTTATTTGCATAAGAGTTTACTTCTCAACTTTTTTCCTTCTATATGGACTACAAATATTTTATATTTCCAGAAATCAAGCATTGTGCATCAAGTTCAGATTCCCAGATTGCATAGTTTCAGAAACTAAGATGTTAACTTGGCTAACCATTTTTCAGATGCTATTTTTTAAATGGACCAATTCTGAATATGCATTCAAGTCTTAAAATGGTCAGATCTTTAGAATTTTTACTAATTTAGGCTATAAAGCTGATACTAGTATGAGAGAGAATAAAAACACTATATAGCCACTGACTTGTAATAATATTGCTTTTCTTGATTTTACTAGCTGCTGAAGATTCAGGAGGTGGTGGTGATGACAAAAAGTCCAAAACATGTTTAATGTTGTAATGCAATCTAACTGGTCTAAATTTCAAATATTATTTTACTTTTGAAGACAAAACAGAAAACATTCAAAAGAACTTCAGCAGATTTCATTGAGCAAGCCATCAAGTACAGTAAGAGGATCTTCAGGAAAACCACCCTGTGACTATCAAGAAAATATATACTGGCCCAGCGCCTGTGGCTCAAGTGGCTAAGGTGCCAGCCACATACACCTAAGGTGGTGGGTTCGAATCCAGCCCGGGCCCGCCAAACAACAATGATGGCTGTAACCAAAAAAAAAAAAAAAAAAAAATAGCCAGCTGTTGTGGCGGGCGCCTGTGGTCCCAGCTACTTGAGAGGCGGAGGCAGGAGACTCACTTGAGCCCAGGAGTTGGAGGTTGCTGTGAGCTGTGATGCCACAGCACTCTACCCAGGGGGACAGCTTGAGGCTCTGTCTCAAAAAAAAAAAAAAAAGAAAAGAAAATATATATTGCTAGCCTGAAACCATGAGGGCAAAATAAAGTTCAACTAAAGTGCAAAATAAGATAAAAATAGGTACATTTGGGTGCCAATTTAAATTAAAGAATGTGCAATCCTGAAACTAGTCACAAAACTCTTTTTTTAAAGTTATTAATTGCTTGTATTTGTTAAGGCTGACAAAACAAAGTACCACAGACTGGGTGGCTTAACTACAAATTTCTAACACTTTTGGAGGCTAGTAGTTCAAGGTGAGGAGTTGGCATGGTTGGTCTCTAGAGAGGCCCCTCTACTTAGTGTGCAGACAGGCATGTTCTCCCTGGGTCTTCGCTCTGTGTGGATCTGTGTCCTAATATTCCCTCATAAGGACACCAGTATTGTATTAGGGCTTGCCCATGTGGTCTCATTTAAATCTTAATTATATCTTCAATGGCTTTATCTCCAAATACTGCCATATTTGGGGATTAGGACTTCAATACATGAATTGGTAGGGTAGGTGTGAATGTGCACACAATTCAGCCCCTAACATTTATAATTGTTATTTCAACTCACTTCCTGAATTAAAAATCTCTCATCAACATGCCTTAATGTAAAAGTAAACACAATATAAAAAAAGGGAAAAGGATATCAAATGTTACTCAATTAGACATGCTTATCTTTTTCTTCTACTTTTTAACCCTTGACAATGGATTGATGAAACACACCCTATTTTTTTGGCAGTTTATTAAAACAATGTCTTTGTCCTGTGCTCCCCCTTCAGAGTCTGAAATCAATTACTTTATGTGTAAGTACAAATATTTTAATATTTAAATATTTTAATTTTTAATGCTCAGAATTATTCTTCTCATTGAAAGAATTATCAGTTCATAAGATACTAACTGGATAACCCTAATGCAAGTTAGATTAGCTAATAAATATTGTACATTATTAAGAAAGGATATGATTTGACTATATAAGAGCTTCATTATCCAAAGCTGTTTGAAATGACTTCAACTGAGATTACTTTTTCAAAATGATTAATAGACCTATCTACCAAGCATTCTAAATACTGAATTGTCAAAAGAATCTAAGGACCAATTAACTATTTTTACTACATGTCTGTCTGGCATCAGAGAAATCTAAGATTCTTTCCTCTACTTATTTATAATTATGAACAAATTCAGAAAACAAGTAACAGTCATACCATATACTAATACTTACCACAGGTTCTTTTGTCAAAAGAGATCTAAATTGTAATGAATTTAATCAAAGATCTATGAACTTCAAATATGTTTTACAATAAACTTTAAGCAGCCAAGATATAAATTACTATTTGTTATATTTTTACAAGTGAGGTACTCAGAATCATAAGACTGCTTCTGTTACATTAGAATGTAAAGTTCGTAAGGAAGGATTTTTGCCTAGTTTGTTTTGTTCACTGTTTTATCTTGGCATTTAGAGTAGTGGTTGGCACAATATAGACACTCAGTAAATATGAATGAATGACATTCTGAATAAATGTTAGCACAACTAGGTAAAATGAGTAATGACTGGGTGTCTCATATAACTATTCAAATGAGTATTGCTTATTAAAGTTATTATCTTGGGTAAGTGATGTGTGCACTATCTCGTTTCCATTGCTCAAAATAATTTTCAAACTCCACTTCTAGGATCACTATTAATTTTGGTCCTTAAAACATCAGACCCTTGAACAACTTCCCCTCTTGGAAATTGAACTGAGGGTAGAGATGTCCCACCACCGAAAGTCTGCCAAATATGTAAACTTTGCCTAAGAGCCAAGTATGAGAATCAAAACTTCAAACCCCCCAGACCAATGGTCTGCTAACCACTACTGACTGCACTATTGCAAAGTCTGAGATAGATATGTAGGAGAATTAATTTTTAAACTCACCATCTTAGAGGCCTTTTCAAAAGCTCTTTAAAATTATGACCCCCAATTATCTGCCATTGTGTATGAATAGATTAAGTGTTATGATCTTATATAATGATTAAAATTAATGCACAAGGTTGATGTCACAGAACATACTTGCAATCTATTTTTAAAGAGTCTTTAGTGCTGGACAGATCCTTCAAGCAGAAACTACACAAAGAAATAATGGACTTAAACAAGGCCCTATAACAAAGGGACTTAACAGACATTTATAGAACATTTTATCCTGACAAAACTGAATATACATTTTTCTCAGCAACCTACAGATCATCTTCTAAAATTGATCATCTCTTAGGTCACAAGGCTAACCTTAATAAATTCAAAAGAACAGAAATTATCCCCTGTATCTTCTCAGACCATCATGGGATAAAGGATGAATTCAATGGCAACAGAAATCTTCATACTCAAATAAAATCATGGAAACTAAATAACCTTAAGCTGAATGATAGCTGGGTCATAGACAAGATCAAGAAAGAGATCATTAGATTTCTAGGACACAATGATAATGAAGACACAAACTATCAAAACCTGTGGGATACTGCAAAGGCAGTCTTAGAGGGAAATTTATAGCATTAGATGCCTTCATCAAGAAAACAGAAAGAGAGCAAGTCAGCAACCTAATGAGCCATCTCAAGCAACTGGAAAAGGAAAAACAAGCTACTCCTAAAGCCAGCAGAAGAAAAGAAATAATCAAAAGTAGAGCAGAAATAAATGAAACTGAAAACAAAAGAATTATTCAGAAGACCAGCAAAACAAAAAGTTGGTTCTTTGAAAAGATTAATAAAATTGATAAACCCTTGACTAGACCAACCAGAAACAGAAAAACAAGATCTCTAATAACTACAATCAGAAATGATAAAGGGGAAATAACAATAGATGCCACAGAAATACAAAAGATTCTCAACAATTACTACAAAAAACTCCATGCCCAGACATATAAAAATGTAGAGGAGATGGACAGGTATCTAGAAGCACAATACCTTCCAAAACTCAACCAGAAAAATTTAGAAATCTTGAATAGACCAATATTAAGTACTGAAATAGCATTAATTATACCAAATCTCCCAAAAAAGAAAAGCCCTGGACCAGATGGTTTCGTACCAGAATTCTGTCAAACCTTCAAAGAGGAACTAGTTTCTATAATGCATAAACTTTTCTAAAATACAGAGAAAGAGGGAATCCTTCCCAACACATTCTATGAAGCAAATATTACCCTGAACCCCAAATCAGGAAAAAGAAAACTATAGACCACTATCATTAATGTGTAAAATATTCAACAAGATATTAGCAAACAAAATACAACAACACATTAAAAAGGTTATACACCATGACAAGTGGGTTTTATCCCAGAGATACAAGGTTGGTTCAACATATGCAAATTTATAAACATAATACACCACATAAGCAGAATCAAAAACAAAGACCATATGATTCTTTCAACTGATGCAGAAAAGGCTTCTGCCAATATCTAGCATCCTTTCATGATAAAAACACTCCAGAAAATAGGCTTAGAAGGAACATTCATTCCTTAAGCTGATAGAGCAGTGGTTCTGAACCTTCCTAATGCCATGACCCTTTAATACAGTTCCTCATGTTGTGGTGACCCCCAGCCATAAAATTATTTTCATTGCTACTTCATAACTGTAATTTTGCTACTGTTACGAATCATAATGTAAATATCTGATATGCAGGTATCTGTATTTAGGTGATCCCTGTGTAAGGGTTGTTTGACCCCCAAAGGGGTCACAACCCATAGGTTGAGACTGCTGTAATAAAGGCTATCTACAGCAAACCCACAGCCAATATCATATTGAATAGAGTAAAACTGAAAGCATTCTCACTCAAATCTGGAACCAGACAAAGACGCCCACAGTCTTCACTGCTATTTAACATAGTATTGGCAGTCCTAGCCATCGCAATCAGGCAAGACAAGGAGATAAAAGGAATCCAAATGGAGGCAGAGGAGGTCAAATTCTCACTTTTCGCAGACGACATGATCTTATATCTGGAAAACCCCAGGGATGCAACTACAAAGCTCTTAGAAGAGACCAAGGAATACAGCAGTGTCTCAGTTTAAAAAATCAATACCCACAAATCAGTAGCCTTCATTTACGTCAACAACTGTCAAGCTGAGAACAAAATCAAAGACTCTATTCCTTTTACAATAACACTAAAGAAGATGAATACCTGGGAATATATCTAACAAAAGACATGAAATATCTCTATGAAGAGAATTATGAAATTTTGAGAAAGGAAATAGCAGAAGATGTCAATAAATGGAAGAACATCCCATGCTCATGGCTGGGAAGAAATCAACATCATTACAATGTCCATACTACCCAGAGCAATCCAAAGATTTAATGCAATCCCCATCAAAGCACTAATATTGTACTTTAAAGATATTGAAAAAACAGTACTTCAATTCATATGGAACCAGAAAAAAACCCAAAGACAAATACAGTTCTTAGAAATAAAAACAAATCTGGAGGCATCATGTTGTCAGATTTCAGGTTATATTACAAGGCTATAGTAATCAAAACAGCATGGAATAGGATAGAGAATCTAGAGATTAACCCGGCCATGTATCATCACTTAATCTTTGATAAGTCTAACAAAAACATGCAATGGGAAAAAGAATCCTTATTTAACAAATGATGCTAGAACTGGTTATCCACATACAGAAGACTGAAACTGGACCGGCACTTCTCACCACTAATAAAAATTGATTCTCACTGAATGAAAGATCTAAATTTAAGACGAGAAACAATAGGCTCGCCATCTGTAGCTCAGTGGCTAGGGCGCCCACCACATACACTGGAGCTCACAGTTCAAACCCAGTCCAGGGCTGCCAAACAACAATGACAACTACAACCA